TGTCACCTGGTATTACTTAATAGTTTATAGTATCTACTGTTAGGTAATATAATTATAAAACTATAGAATTTGCTTAAATAAATATGCTAATCTGATTACTTTTGTATTTGATAATCCAACATTTGAAAGCTTTTTCATTATCTGAAATCGCGAAAATGGACAGAACGGTGAAGCAAAACTAGTGGACTTATTATATAACATTAGATCACACTTTGAATCTTTCAAGGCTATTAAAATTAATTTTGTTTACTTAGGCTATGCTATGGATATATATACTTGACATTTCCAATAATTGTCTATAATAACTCCTCCTTAAAAAGGGTCTAGAACCGATTATGGTTCACTGAACCGCAAAAGGGTTATTATTGAACCGTTACACAGTACTAATTATAACCTATCATCTGGTCTGTATCAAAATTTTATTAAAGCGTAAGAATGGTGTATGTAAATATCATATTTATAATTTGATAAACGAACCTATGTGCCTACTTTTATATTCTTTATTATATCCTTTTTACGTTTCACACAGGAATTTAGCCAGTGTATCTTTTCTATATTCGACTAGCCAGAAATTCGTACCGCCATTTTTCCAAATTAAAATATGCCCAATTGCCTATCTACCTACTGTTAAATCTTTTGTCCTTATAACAGATTTCTATAAATATTTTTGAAGTCAAAGAAATATTTTGACCATAGAAAACTAAAATTATTCTTTGTATAATCTTTAACATGGCAACCCCATTGCCGAGTAGACATCTGCGTAAATGTGTCAAATACCTCAAGGGGATAAGAGTAATGAAAAGCCCATTGTTAACATGCGGGGGCGGGAAACCCCTCGCGTTTATGGGATCCTAGTACCTACTTCGTACATAAAGATGGATGTAACAAAAAAGGGGATGATAACTTTAAGTAAGTGAGTATATGATGTATCTAATTAACGATATCAGAAAACTGCTCCGAATAAAAAAGCAAGCAACTTTTTCATATTCGTTTTTTCAGTACCTTTTATTAATTTCTGAGTTATATGCTCCTAAAGGAACTTTGCTTGGACGGTTATTGTGTGCCTTGAACATTATAATTCTTGGTATATCGGTAGTTAGCCATTCATTATTTGACGTAATGATTCCAAGATTATCATTGCGTGAATTGCGTCATTGTTGAAACAGCAACAGTGTTTGTTGAACATTTTTGTGTTGTTCCTCTATGAATAAAGTTGACTAAAAATATGTGTATAATTTTCGTACTTATTTCTCGTTTTATATAACTGTCTGTTATATTAATGTATATGTTTTTTGTAGGACACGATTTGAAATATTCGGACAGTATTTATAATATTATCTTTGTTTAATATACAGTATTTTTAAAGTCTGTGTCTACAGCGCATTTTTACTTTTTCGGGCTGCACCATAGTCAAAGGACGGTTCTTGTCCGCCATTGGTTCAATATTATACTGCAGCCGCCAATCACACGCCGCGCCGCAGGAGATACGCACCGATGCAACGACAACGCATCCTGTTTTTTTTTTTAATGAGGAAATCTGATAGTAGTTTACCAAACCGAGGGGTGTCCAGTGTTTTATTCAAATGTAATTCTATAGAGTTTTTTCCGAGTAACAAAAATAGATGAAATGCTCCCATTGCATGTAACATAAAAAAGTATCTTGGAAAAGAAGAAACACATTGTTTTGTAGGGTGTACTTACAAAACAATGTGTTTCTTCTTAATTTACCGTAGTGATATATGATTAAACGAGCTCCTACTATACAAAAGAAAATTACATCACGTACAATGCAATTAAACTATGACGTTTAAAATAGAATCTAATTTAATCGACAATAAAAAGAGTTGTTCAGTTATCTAGATCATGTTTGACGTCAAGTGTTCTAAAGTTAGATTAGGCACTGCACCAGGAAGACACTGTGACGACATCTGTGACATTTGCTGTATGCTCCTGCCTGCGCAACTAGTTTTCGAGATTTGATTTAATATTATTTAATATATTTCGTGTATGCTTTTATCTGACAACCACACTTTGTCCATCCTTAATATCTTGTCCAAATTTTTTTCGTAGAACTGCAATAATTAGTTAAACGAAAACCAGATTATATTTAATATACTTTTCTTGTCCAGTTCATAAAATAAAATGCATTATCCTATTTCCGAATCAAAAATAGACAAATTTAAAGAAAAACTTCGTACATCGATCCCATCTTCCGGCGGATGTAAGATTCTCCCTCCAAATTCAACTCAAAATAGCGGCCACCCTCATATTTTTTTCTGGACCACCTGGCTGTTACACGAGCCCCTATTGTTAATCGATGTTATTATCATTAAATATAAAACTCCATATACCTATATTCCATAAATATCCTTATCACAAATGATTTTCTGGTATACCTATCTACTGTTTGTCTACCATTGATTTTATCTTTTTATTTAATGCGAAAAATAAAAGGTTAATTATATATTCAGCCCTACACTTTTTACAACTATCGTATCTAAGATTATCTTCACTATAGTAGCATAAACAAACGCTTGTTTTATTTAATATGTTTAATTAAAACTAACTACTACTAAAAGATCGTGAACAAATTAACTTTTATTAATTTAGACTAGAGCATTTTGCAATTATGCCAACAAACTGCCTCCTCATTAGAATTGGCGCGTAAATCACTTAACACTTCCGGGTATTACGTTTTAAATAGAAGGAAGTGTGGCGCACGTGTGCTCACAATAGCGTGTCACCCTCCGTTGAGGGAAAAATTACTGTACAGAGGATAAGTTGTTCGTTTAGGGTTCAAAGTACTTAAAGTTACATCAGCACGTATTGTTATTCACTTGAGACAATACTCCTCCAACTTCAGATTAAGTTATTGGTAATAAAAATAAATGGCTAAATTTTAAATTTACTACTTTTTATGCGCTTCACCCGCATAGTAGAATGAAATGTCGTCAATAGAATATAAAAAAGAAAAAATGTGCCATATTCCAGAGATCCTTCGCTTACCAAACGATATAATAAGTCACAAAAATTTTAGATGATTTTGGTATTCACATTATTCTCGATTTCATTAAAATAAAGAAAAAGCTTTTTAGAAGCATCAACTTTATGAATATTTATAAATTTAAAAATATACGTACACTACAATTAATTTTCTTTTATTTCCATAAACATTATTGAGATAAAATATTATTTACTTATTGATTAATGTCATGAGAAATGCAGATTTCATAAACACTCAGTTTTCTTTGCTTTGTTAGTTGTGACAACAAGCGTTTTTGTATAATATAAATTACATATTGAAGTTTTCTTCAATGTGGAATACCTACCATTAAGTTATAGTCTGTAATCTAATAAACTACTAGAAAGGAGTGTCTATATTTAGTATTATATGTATGATGTAAGTAAACGATATGTCCAAATAAATACATAATAAACAAACTTAAATACAGCAGCTCATGTTTAAAGTACATCTGGACGTCACTTATTCCACCAAATTCCATATTTCAGCTGCGTCACACACAGTTAAATTTTACCTTTAATGACGTTGATATAAAGTTAACATTCGTTTGGCTTGCGCACGCGCAAGCTGTTAGGCTCCTAGCATCTGCCGCGCAGGTGTTGCTATCTTGAGGGGTTGATAACATTAGGGGAGATCACAACGAGTACTGTTCCTTTAAATTTTTAGCTGGAATCTACTTTTTGTTTGATTCCATATAGAAAATATATGCATATAATAAACAAATGATTTGCAATTGCAACAGAAAAACAAACATGATGAACACCGTATTTCAATATAATATTACTTTGAAAAGTAAGGTCTATTCTGTTTCGTAGCGATTTTGGCAGATTTGACAATAATATTATTTTTCTTTTCCCGATACATTTTTTAATCAGCTAATTTAATTAGTTCTTTACTAAACTAGTTGTATGTTAAATGTTACACGATTTTCATTGACAAATACTGAATTTAATCTCTGTATGTGAACATGAGATTAAGTAAACTTACCCGTATCTTGATAATTAATTACCTGTCCAATTTTCGATATACTTGTGATTAAATTTGGCATTATGAGAGATAAATTCATAATCAACACGGGATTACGCTGAAAATTGCTTTTGATAACTCCGTATGTGATTTATACAAAAGGAACATAAAAATCTTGATCGATGACATGTTGATAATCGATATTGGCTGCAAAAAATTACCTACTTCTGAGATTGCTCATTGATGTACACAATTCGACATGGTGCACACGGTGACAGATCTATTCCAGACAGTGGAAACAAAACCAGATGTGTTCCCGAAAGAGCTGGAGGATTTCTTCAAGCAAAGTAAGAAGTCGCGTAACAGAAAGATTTGGAACCGCAAATGGATCTTAAAGCGGAAAGCGCAAGGTGCGTTTTCGGAGGTCATCCAAAATTTAGATGTACTTTTGTAGGTTTGGTAATGGGTTTGATAACTACCTACCTATTGTTTCTAATAGAGGCTTTGATTCCAAGGATATTGCTATGACCTCTAGCCTCAAATGCCTTTGTTGATATGACAAGTACCTATATTGTCTTGTATTTACCATAGCATTGGCATTGTATGAAAAGATTACACAGTCTCCGGATACTTCTGGTACCTCTCTTCAGCTGGTGGGTTTTGTTATAGACCGCCAAATCGTTATATTTAAGAAAAAAAGTTGCCTTCTTTAGCGTAATCTGCCAGTGCTGTGATAATACCGCAAATTTGTGGTTTTCGTGTCGTTAAATTAATCGTACATGTAGTAGCTGAACAGTTTTTGTTGTTATCTGTCATTATTCATGTGACTCAATTCCTTTTATTTTATCAATAATTAAATTTGGAACTAGAATGTGCTTAGACAAATAAGAACAGTCTGCGCTAGGAAACATTGGAAAATGTTGAAAGGTCATGACAGACATCGAATCATCTTAAAGTGTGTTAAAAAGCCTATGAGTTAAATATATGCTAAATCTCATTTTCTTTGTTTCAGCGCCTCGCACGTCCTGCACAGGTGGCACTCCGAATAATCTGCCGCCCCTGAGCTTCCACAACGTGCACGGGGAAAATGTGAGGGTGTCCAGGGATGGCTCCGTCGCTAGAAGGGTGGAGTCTTTCTGTAAGGGAGTGGCGTTCAGTGCTAGACCAGTGCGAGTCAATGAAAAGGTAAGCGTGTCTTTACCTCATACTTTTATCATATTAGTACAGATATGTGAAATTTTTAAAATATTTACAGTTTTTTAACCGAAGTACGCGGATGTAACGAATTTTCTTTACACCTTGTAAATCTATTACAGATGCGTTCGATGCTTTATATGTTTTCATTCAAAGAATTCCAAAATCTGATAGGTGTGTGTTTAAACTAATATATAATTTGTCAGAAATATCATCAGTATATTTTAAATTAAAACTGTCTTCTTTATTTCAGGTGTGCCTTCGCTTCGTTGAAATTTCCAATAGCTGGAGTGGAGTAATTCGCTTCGGTTTTACCAGTAATGATCCGGCGGCCTTAACGCATTCCCTGCCTAAGTATGCCTGCCCCGACCTCACTAACAAACCAGGCAACTGGGCTAAAGCATTAGGAGAGAGATTCTGTGAAAAGGACAATATATTGCACTACTACGTAAACTCAGCGGGTGACGTCCACTTTGGAATAAATGGGGAAGACAAAGGTCTGTTCTTCACGGGTGTAGACACAAGAAATCCGCTATGGGCTCTCGTGGACGTTTATGGAAACTGTACCGCCGTACAGTTCGCTGATCCCCGCGTGCCGAATCAAGTCAGAAGACCGAACCAGAGCCCGGTAGAAGAGGAGAGATTGATCAGCGGCATGAGATCTCTGAGCGTTGAAGAACCACTGCCTCCACCCAGATATGCCAATCCCTTGGTACCTTTAAGCTTGCACAGAACCAAAGGAAGAAACGTTCAGTTCGTGAATGATAGAGGAGTAGCTGCAAGGGTTGATGCTGAATTCTGTCAAGGGTACGTGTTTACGGCGAGACCGATGCGACCAGGGCAGACGATCGTCGTACAAATATTGGCTACAGAGTCCGCTTACGCAGGAAGCTTAGCGATAGGTCTGACATCTTGCGATCCGGCAAATCTAAGGCCTAGCGACCTACCGGCAGACGCGGAATTGTTACTAGATCGTCCCGAGTACTGGGTCGTTCGACGGGACGCGGCAAACGGATTGGGCAGGGGTGATGAATTAGCTGTGACTTTGACTGTGGACGGGGAAGTGAGGGTCAGCAGGAACGGATCGACACCAATGACCGTCATGCACGTAGATCACACGCTCAGACTGTGGGCTTTCGTGGACATATACGGGGCGACCCAGAAGGTCAGAATGCTCACGTCACAGGCGGTGACGTCACCTCCACAACAACTTCGCTTATTAGCGGGTGCAGCAGCGCCTATAGCGAGCAGCGGTGGCACGGTGCTAGTTGTGAGTCTACCGCCGCAAAATGCCGCGCAGAACGCTGCCAACCATCAGCAGGGACTAACGCTTGCCAGTGCACATTATATTGAGGTGAGTTACCTTACTAATTTAAATTTTCATGATTTTTTTGTTAGTATCATTCAAATTACATTAAGCACACACAAAGTATACTCTAATTTCAGGATTAAATATCTTAAGTGTAGGATTTTTTTCTAAACAAATTATTGATTCGAGTGCAACCATAAATAGCCAATAATTTTCACTAGGAAAAGCGAGCAAAGAATAAAAAATAACCTATTCCTTTTTTTGTCTGCAGCCGATCCAGGCATCGTCACAGCTATGTCTAGCCGGCCTCCAACCGGTATCTAACCAGCCACCCTTGGGGCCGATGCCGCAACCTTCGTATCAACAGCCCAGACAAAGGACCGAAGCCCAATGTAGTTCCACCACACAGAATTCCTGCAACGAGAAAGTTCAAATACCCAATGGCCACGAACCTTTAAGGCTGGAGAGATTAACAAACGGTCCGTCTACCAGCAGACAGCACCAACCAATATACTCTATGATAGCCGAGGGGAATCTCACTGGAACAGAATGTACTATCTGTTACGAGAATCCTATAGATAGCGTATTATATATGTGCGGACATATGTGTATGTGCTACAGATGTGCAGTCCAACAATGGAGAGGTAAAGGCGGCGGTCAGTGTCCACTGTGCAGAGCGCAGATAAAGGATGTCATTCGTACGTATAAGTCCTGATGTGTTTCAACTGCGTTAGTATGCCAAAAAGGACTTTTATTTTAGCTAAGAATGTATACGGTTTTGTAACTGTGTTTGTGAGAGCATTAAAATTATGACATATTTGATTACATAATATATTTATTGATTCGATCTTAATATATATGACTCGTTTAAGTTTTTTTTTTATATAAGGGATTTTCGCGGCATATTTCCGTTTGACGTTGAATGGCGGCTGGAAGTATAGACAAACTCGTTTTTATAAGGAAACTTTTTAAGAGTCTTCTGAATAGAAAATTATTTAGTTATTAGTGTGTAAAATCGACACCAAAAACATGCAATAAAGGCCTTTAAAATCATGCTAGCTTAATTGTTAGTAATATTTTAAAGTTTCTACATTGTAATTATTTGACATGTATTTATTTCTTGATGTAGCAGCTTTCATCAATACAATAGTATTGAGTAAAAAAACTCAACGCGCCACAATAAATATAAACATGAGCCTTAAGTCATAATAAAAATATGATTTCGACATATCACAAAGACATTTGGGCACTGTTTTATATTTTATCTCGATGTACGTTTTAAGCCGATGAGTTCTTTTTGAGAATCGAGGCTATGTTATAAATAAACCCTTGTAAATATTCGACAGTTATGCTAAGCATAGTGTTAAGAAATAGGGTACATCAGTTCATAAATTATTATAATGGACAGTTTTTCTTTTAATTTTATGGTTATAATATCAAATAATCGACTTCTGTTCAACAATATCGAGGACGCCAATTTTTTGCATACTTAGTGAGGAACTTGACGTGTGAAAAATAAGTCACGAAAGTGGACGTTATCAAAATAGGGATGATGACCATTTTTTTTTGTTTCTCTGTCAGGCAGATTATTGAAAAAGATTAAACACGCATTTTTTTTATTTTTTTGCGTAATCATTAAATTACGGCGATACATTGAGTTAAATTGTCACATACGTCATGCTTCTGTACATTTTCTACAAAACTGTGTGTTTGTATTTTTCTTTTATTGACGCTTCGAACCGCTTACACATAAGATTAGAGTGCATGTGAAATTATAAAAAATCAACAAGCTGTTTCTTATTAAATTAAAGTAAAAAAAATACGTATCTAATATTTCTCTATTATCTGACTGACGGACCAAATAGCATTTCTTTTGTTACAGGCATATCCCTATTTACATTGAAATAAACATATTCTGATTTTGAGTCATAAAATCGCATGATTATCTTAAAATTAAAAGTCAAGTTTTTTTGTCTATGTATCACGTGACTAGATCACTACCCGCTATTGTGTGACGTCGCTCCGGAAACATTTCTCCTATTTGTCGTAAAATGTCTGTTTATTATAAATCAGATTCCTAGATGGCGCTGTTCTTATCTTTTTATTTTGTAGTCAGATCTTCAGATAGCGCTGAACTGGTCTGACTGACAGTTTATAATCTAATTTTACCACATTCTTTGCGTACATATCGGAATGACGTCATGAATATGGCCGACAGTGTTTTCGGTGTACCTTTACAAAAGTTTTGATTTAATTTTAAGGCAAGAAAATATGTTTGATTTTCTAAATCTTTTTCTATTACTTATTTAAATGAGTATAAATACTTACAAGTAATATATCAAAAACTATCTAAAATCTAGACAAATAATAGTAACTATAATTTAGCTACATTTATTTGACTAGTCTTAAATATAGACTTAGGCTGCAAACGATATATTTACGTCCATATAATTGGTGATAGTGTGACATATTGCATTTAATATTTTTAAATGAATATCATAATATAATTTTACTTTTGTATACTAATGTTACCACCAATAGGGTTGCTATGTAAAAATAAAAGAAAAAATAACTCGATTTATTCCTTGTGTATTTTACAGAAATATACAAAACGTTTTGTTTAAATGTCACATACATAAATGAAATAATAAAAAAACAAGGAAGTTCCTATAAATGATTTTGTGCGATTTTGTCATACACCTCGATCGAATATTTAACTAATAGATATTTGCTATTAGTAGAGTGCGCTACCTCGCTGTGTTGCCAGTGCTAAAAAATTCGAATCCAAAGATGGTAAAATCGAATGAGATCATTTCGAAATTATTGTCAATAAACGTTTTGCAATAGCTTTAAATTATATCAAATGTATAATAATGTAATAGCTATGTATTAGATTTAACATTAATCATTCACTCTTTATTGCGAAATTATTTAACATTGAAATTTATTTATGATCATTCCTTCACTTTGCTCAAATTACTTTTTTTGATTGATGCATATCATAAATAGATGTCTCGATTATGCTTAGACTTGACTACCAATTTTAAAGCATAGTCTTTTTATATAGCCTAGATAAAGACTATTACATTTGTCCTGGTGATATAAAGAGAAATGCACGATAAACGCGAAGTTAGTCAAACTGGGGGTAATACATAATCAAAACCAAATATTTAAAATCGAACTGAATAAATAATATCTCTTCTCTTTACATATCTTTCTACTTGTAAACTTTCTTTTAAAATCATTCCTATATTTAGACGATAATATTACCTACCAATAATTTTATTAATACCAAACCTTTGCAGCCAGTTTTTATTGTATTATTAATTTATAATTTTGCATAATTAAATAACAGCAATGCACCAATTTTTTTATTCATTCACTTTGAAATGAGATGTGAATGTGAATGAAAATATTGTTGCCGTTCAAATACTTTAGGGCATATTAATATTTAGTGACATTTATTTTAATTTGTAATGCAACAAACGTAACTGGGAAAGAGAAAGTTGTTGGTTGTAGCGAAAGAACGTGATTTTTTTCATTGATTGAGATTAATTTAATCACAGCTGTCTCTTTCTCAAAGTACCACAATGAGAACTTTTATATACCAAAACAGTGTGACCAGTTTAAAAAATAACAAAACCACGACTATGTTTGAAGCCAAATCTTGTGTAAGTTTATTAGAATTGTAAATATAAGTAAGATCGTAATGTTAGCACGAGTTAGTTTTCATCCATTTGATCAATCCACGATATTGCCATTACTCTTAACTGCGCAAAATGATGATTCATTTGCAAACCAATTACGTGCTAACGTTTCGTAAGACCAAGTTGTATGTGATAATTTTTTTTATATGTAATTATACTTTTTTATTATTTTCCCATGCTTGGTCCATGTACAGCGTTGTCATCTAGTCGTTAGTAATTTATTTCCCCCTTTTTTAAAAAAAACCTTTCCTGTAAACAATGTTGGATATTAGATTAAGTTTCTAAATAAAAATGGTTATCTCGTAATGTGGTGTTTTTTTTTTGCCAAACCTTGATCAGGCGCTATGTCCATTAATCCAATTATGCCACCCTCTTGAATTTTAAAACAAATATTTAACCTATCAAATCCCTTATTAATCAATCCATTACGAAACTTTACTAATAAATGTGGAATTACTTAAAAAAAGAGAAATAGTGCTTGAAGTGTCCACCACCAGCGTGCATCTTGGTTTTTTGAAATGAATTCTTGACTGATCGATCAATATCAATAATAATACTACCGTGCTGAGCTTTATGTAATATACCCCGTTATTAATTTTACATTTAAATTTGTTTTCGCCTAGTTGGGTATTTTATCTAATAGCTGCTTAGCTGGCTCTAATTAATTGCGCCTTATTTCACAAAAGTGTAAAAGTGAACATCTCGAAAAGTGATCAAGTGTAACATTTACAATTGGGTTATTATAAAAAGTCGCATTTGACATCTATAAATCTGGACTTGATAGTGAGGCTTCCTTTAAAAAATATTCGATTATTTAGCTAATCGAACCATTTTAAAGGAAATGTAAATCAAATAATAATAATAATAATAATCTTTATTTTATTTTCTTCTACATTTCGAGCAACAAATGTGTACAACATAAAAATACAGCAAGTTTATGTAGAAGACAGGAGTCCAAACTAGGTAGACCCCGTTCTATGGCACTCCTGGCCTCCACCTCTCGAATTAATAACCACAATGCCACTTTGCAAATGAAGTTATTGTGCAAAAGTAATATGAATTTTATGATTATTTTCAATATATTACTTCGTGAGATTGATCATATTATTTCGTGAAATTATGTATTGTGTCGACACAACAAGAGAAGAAAATTATATATAATTTATGAATAACACACAATTTCATTATTACTAAGCGTAATGCATTCTTCTTTTTTAATTAATGGCTTACCTGCGCATTTCGCACAATTCTGCCAATTCAGCTTAATGCATTGCTTAAGGTAAATAGGGGTACAGAGGATGTCAAATTGCGAGTCATAAATTCACGTTTTGGGTGTTACATATTCCTTACAAATATATTATTTTTTATAATTCTAAACTAATGAGGAAGTATTAAAAAAATGACAAACTAGATGTCGCTACGGTAGGTTCTTGATTTCTCCATGACAACCCTTCCTTTTTACTTTCTTGTTTAAAAATAAACTCGTTTTTAAAACTCAATTAACAACTCATATACTATTTGTACTTTTTCGTATTTGTATTGATATATAAGTTTCAAATTTCAGTTTTTTAATATGTTAGTCAAAAGGAACGGCAATGATTGTCTTTGATCCATTCGATTCCTGCAAAAATCAACTTTACCTAGAGTCGTCATCTAGTGAAGGTGCTTTTTTAGTGCTTTCTAAAAACAAATTCATATATTTGGTAATTTTTTCCAGGTGCCTTTCTATGGCCTCAAATGCGTAGCAATCGGTTATTTTGGATTATATTTGAATAGACATATATTTGATTACATTATAATTGAAAAACAGAAAGAACCAGAAATTAGGGGCATCAATATGTAATCAGCAAATCTATTGTTGAAACAGTAGGGTTGGCAACACTGGACCCAACTGTAATAGTACATTATATATTATCTATGAATAGTATGTTACTTAGGTATATTATATCCTCATTCTAAAATAATTAGGGTACTGGCTGTGAGCTTTTACATTATTACTCATTATTAAATTATTGTCATTTTTTTACCTTCAATCACCTCATTACATCGTTACAAGCTCTAACAAACATTCCATAATGCTCAGACAAAATATTTTTTATTTGGTTTGAGGTAGAATGTAGAGATTTGCATTTACAGGTATATAATTGAAAACGGACAACAGTATTAATAATATATGAAAATAATTAGAAAACTGCGAACTTAAATTATCCAGAAAATAAAATATGTTGCTGAGTGAGAAAATATTTATGAAATAAAAGTGATCATTAAACCTGTTGTTAAATAAAGTAAGGATTTCTTACACCCAGTTCCACAAACATTTATTAGAATTGTCATTAGTTTAAAACGACATTCACTAAAAATTTTCTTCCTGTAAAATAAAAAATAGGTAAATTTATATTTCCTTTTGCCACACCAAAAACAAACGTCAAACAATAGGTGACGCTCCTGACGCGCACGGTCGTCACTCCATTTTCAATATCTACCTTAAGGTTAAATCGTTATTAGAACCTTAAATATTTACTAATAAAGTCTTAAATCTCAAATATTATTTACATTTAGTAGGTCGTGATTGTGTCAGCATTTCACAAAATGTACCGCTGTTCTTTGAATGGACGGATGATGAGAACTTGTTATTATTAACCGAGCATAACCTTTTATTCTGTGTTTCGATTTTATTTTAATTCCTAAACAATAGAATCGCTCTTGAAACAGTGTTAATGTGACGATTTTGTGGATTTGAAAACTTTATTTGGCTATATAACACCAGAAAGGTTAGTTATTCATTCAAAACTAGGTTTAATTTTGTGTCATAATTAGATCAATTTCATCGCAAGCGTTTCAACTTTTTAGTAGCATGTGCAGTTATTTCATGAGATCAGTCTCATTGTTTCACTCTTTAGAATGATTTTAAAAACGCCATTTTGAGTAATCGTGTGATTTAGTTTGAATAATTCGTATGCTCCTCCGATTTATTTGGACTTTATAGAATATTGCATTTGTAATCGTAAGTATGTTTTTAATTTTATCGTAGCGTCCACATCGGCTAATTTTACAGTTATAGCAAAATAATTCTATTACTGTCTTTATTACACATAAGTTTTATTTTTTATTGAAAACTGTTAAATTTGTTTGGTTGCATATTCTTCTATTGTTCTAATCTTATTATTTTTCAGTGTTATCAATTTCAACATATTCTAATGCATGTGGTATTTTTATGTATTTTAAATGAATTATAATATTACACATCACATCTGCTTAATCAAGTAATTGAGTAGATCAAACCAAAAGCTATGCTTACAGTAGGGTTGCAAACATAATCCATTGGTGAGCATAGTAGGAAAATAAACATAGTATTATTATTTTCTCACAACCAACCAACTATTCCTATAGAGTGTAAATAGTTTTTAATAGAAACTTCCATACCATACATGTAGTAAATAATGTCATCAAAAATTATAAAATGCGATGATTATGTTTAATAATTGTTGATTTATTGCCATCTTTCAATCATTTCATTATATTTTTTTATATGTAGACATTATTTTAATTTAAATACTTCACATTGGCAGAATTGTGTGAAACATGTAGATAAGCTATAATAGAAGTAGATGCTAATTGTTGTTACAATGTTTTCATGGATATTAACCCAATGTGATATTATATAGGTTAAAAAATATGTGGGCTTTGCACTATTATTTATAAATTTTTCAGTCAAATTCAGTAAAATTAATTTTTGATAAAGCATACTTCAAGTGCAACACACTATTTTAATGCCTTATTGCCTTCTTCATTTGTGTTTCATATTATCTATCACAGTTGTATCTGAAAAATGAGTATTCAATTAAGGGAAACATTTGTAATGACAAAGCAATGATTTAATGAGGTTACATATCTTTCAAACAATCAATCAGCAAACCAAGTCAACTTGTTTGATATGAAAACAAAATAGCAAACCAAATCGAATCTAATAATTATAAAGGGGAAAGATTTCATTGTTTGTTTGTGTACAATAGGATCCCTGGATACTGGACTAGGATATATATACTGGACTCATTTCAATAATTCTTTCACCAACAATAGGCTTTAATGTAAAGTCACAGTAAAACTGCTAGTATAGAATAAACCTTTCTATGTATTATAGAATAATGAGAAAAAAACTTGTAAAACCATTCACTATCCATCACTAAAATTATTTGTTTCTTAAAACTAGTTTATCTCAAAATGTAGTGTATTCAGAGTTTCTAATTTCTAATTTGTGGAAAAGTATAATAATATTGGTTATTGAAAAATAAGCTATGACTCATAGTAGCTGAACTGAAATTATAAAATTCTCAGCTTACATAAAATCAATAATAATGATAAAAAAACATGTTGACAGTGTAACCAGTGTAGTTAGTTGCCAGTGTCAATTAACATATTATTTAAATTATAATATACAAATTTTCTGTATATTTCAGATGTTCTGCATCCAGGAAACAGAGAGCCCACACACGGACCCTTTCTCAAACAATGACCAAGACCCGCTGAGCAATCCCAACCAATCAGAATCAAGTGATGACGAGCCAAGTGCCAAAAGACTGAAAACGAGCTTCAACAGTCCATCATTGAATCTTAAAGTCTACCAAATACCAGCATTCAATACACCACAATCATTATCAATATTTCCCACTGCTCCGACTACTTCATTACCAAAATTTGTTAACAACCCTTTAAATTTAGCGAACCCTTTAGCATTGAACAATTCTATTGTCAAAAATGCAAATAACATTGTAAAAAATTTGCAATCACGTTATTCCTTGCCAGCCAAGTTGACCATCACACCTGTGCAAACTCCAAATAAAACGGAAACTGGTGAGGTAGTGAGATATAAGAAAAATGGAGAGATTGCAAAGAAACGAGGACCACCTAAGGGATATAAGCGGAAACCCAAAGTGGATCTGTCAATGAGTTTGACGAATATGTCAAATGTTGCGCTATTACAGGTATATTAAACAGTCATATTTTAATTACCATTGCCTGTAAACATTTTGTGAGCACACCACTTTTGATTACAGCTTACGGGCTTTTCTTGTTTCATTTAGATAAATAATTGAGAATTTGTTTATTGTCTTATGTTGTAATCTATTAATTTTTGCCCCCACAGGCCCAGAATACTATCTTGACCAGTTTACTTGCAGCTTCCAACACAACTCTGAGCATGCCCAGTACAGTATCAGGCCCGTCCATACAAATACCTCAAAATTTTGTGATACCACAAGAGACTATCAAATTACCTGAAGGTATGTACCAATTACTGATAACAGCAAAAGGCTGCTAATTTTAAAATCGGTAGCATTTCCTTTCTATTAAACATTTGAAAGATATTAACGAACTATACGCTACATCTATGTGACATGTTTTTTAAATATATTGAAATCATTAATTTAACGTCAATTTGAATTATCTAAAGCGATTGCGTCTTTAATAGTGACAATATGCCATAAGTGTCTTACCAGTGAAAATACAGGTTTCTGTTATATGTTGGGAAAATATTAACCATTTTAACTTTTAAATAATTTGAAAATTATACAAAAATTTGCTTAAATATCATCATCATCATCAGCCCCTTTATGTCCCCACTGCAGGGGCTCAGGCCTTCCTTATGGATGGTTAAGGAGGATGGGCCATGACCCTCCACGCTGGCCCAATGCGGATTGGAGGGTATTAACGACTGCAAATGCAACCGGGACCAACGGCTTAACGTGCTTCGTAATTCCGAAGCACGGAGTAGCTCGAGATAATAATTTTTTGGTCACCCATCCCGTGACCGACCCTTGCGAAAGTTGCTTAACGACAAAGATCGCGGGCCGCGGCGCATATCCGCTACGCCACGGAGCTCCTCTAAAATATAAATAAAATATACTGCTCTGCTAAAATATATGTGACATTAAATTAGTTACATAAATCATAACAACTTTCATTAGATAACTATAAACATAAACACATGTATCAAAGATATTGAAAAGATTGCCCAGACGACCATACATTTTTCGCTACCCTAGCATGTAAACGTTTTCGGCCGACTGCAGATCTGCAAACATAACACCTTTTCTCCGAAACTGTTAATCGTAGATATTTTGTTACTTTTACATTATTTCTCAGATATTAATCGACTATTTATTTATCAAATTTAAAAAAATGCCAAGTACCCTATTAGCCCACATAATGATGACACAGAGGCACAAGCCGTGAGCCCTGCTCCCACCACCAATAATATTAAAAAAGTTTAACTATACTTATTACTTTAACTATAATATAAAAAAATCCTAAATTATAAAAAAATAAGACATGCATTTTAAATTTTGAGGCTATTTTTTTACCGATAAAAAAAAAAACAAATAAACGTTTTGACGGCTTTTAAATTAGTCGTCTTGCTGAACGGTCCAAATGTCATAATGAAACTAGAAAACAGTTGAATGGCACCATTCAGTTAAATGGCTAGCCACCCGATAGAACGGCTGATTGGCTGCGACATGCAAAATATTTATAAAAAAGAATAACTAGATATCAATTTCAATTTTCGAACCATCATCTCATCAACCCTTTTAAGTCCCCAATGCAGGGCTCAGGTCTTTGGACGGTTAAGGAAGATGACCCATGACCCTCCACGCTGGTCCAATGCGGATTGGGGGTATTAAGGACTGCCAATACATCTGGGACCAACGGCTTAACGTATCTTCGGAGCACGGGGTAATTAAAGATAATATTTTTTGGTTACTCACCCCGTGACCGACCCTTGCGAAAGTTGCTTAGCAACAACGATACGGGCCGCGGCGCTTATCCTCTACGCTACGGAGCTAACCTCTGGATAAGGAACCTATTGATGACTCATGGACATTAGTGTACATGAAGTGTATATTATAGTGTGTTTACTAAAGTAAATTTTAACAAATTTTATAAGTAACTAACCTTTCTCATATTATTTTTATACTTTTTAATAAAAAAAATTGTAATATAAAATACTGCTAATATAATTAAAAGTTAATAGAATTATCAGGTTATAACTATCAAAAAGATTAAATTATTATTATTAAAGATTATATAAACCTTGAAACGGCAGTAAGTTTAGAAAGTTTTATTTACTATGGCTAGGTACCGAGCTAGTGGAGCTACAGCTGGACCCTGAAGACTGGTTTCCAGCTGAGCCTTACAAGATGATTTTCAGCAGGAAGAAAAATCCCAAGTGGAAGAGTTTCCCGTACAGATGCGAGCACTGTTTCAAGGTAAGTCAAAATAAAACAGTGACCTTCTCAAAATATTGCCTGGACTCGCCAGGTAGCCTCCGCTAGCTCGCGTAGCATGACGAACTCAAGAGACAGACAACCAATCGATAGACCCGAGGAACGCTCGACATACCGTACGAGAGTCTTCCTCTCGGTCTCGTCCTTTTCTCTGTTCTCTCGGTCTCGTCCTTTTCTCTGTTCTCTCGGGCTCGTCACACTACGTAGGCAGAAGAAGGCTATCAGAAATAAAAATGTGCTGGGAATATTTCCTGATGGAACTTGGAGGTTTTGCTAAAATATTTCTGGAAATCATCCAGACATCCTTCACATGAAAAATAAGCGCAACTTCTTTTTCTTAACCAGAAAGAAGTACCTGTGAACTTACGTGTGGATTTACCACCAATATGTACTTGTATGCAGGGCTCGGAAACCCGGTTAATAAAATTGCTCAGGTTGTAAGAATAAGATATATGGTATTTTAGTGTTTTCATTTGAATATCAGTTCGGTTCTAATGAAAGATCAACTTCAACCATTTCTAAGTAGGCAGACCTCTCACAAGATGGACCGACGATCTGGTCTAATAAGTACGATCAGTAGGCCATTTCGCTAACTCTACTAACAGCTAGAAGTCGTAATCACCGTCAAAAGTAAACAATTCTATTGTGTCAAAATTAGTTATTCATATGACATATTGACTGTCCTTAGAGTAGTTACAAAATAAGGGGCCTGTTCTTTTCATGAGGAGCGCGTGGGATTAATAATTGTGGAGATTTTTAGGGGAGACTTTTGTTCAGCATTTATAACCGGCTAATTATAAAGATCTATTTGCTCGAAGACATCAGCCATATCAATAATATTTTGTGTTTCGTAGGGCTACCGAGTAGTGTCTACACTTTTAGCCCATGCAGCAGAGCGGCACGGCAGTGTGCCACGCGATCTCGCAATACCGTGCCCGTGCTGCCCCCACGTGTCCACACGCCGTAAACACCACAAGAAACACCTCGAATCACACGAGGGAAAGAAACACAAAATATTCTGTCCCTACTGTCTGCCACCTGGTGAGTAACCCATTTTCAGATTAGCGTCATGCAGCAGTATTGTGTCCATAATATAATACCGGTAGAGATGAAAGTTTCATAAAACTATCGATATATCGAGTTCGATATATAGCGATGACAGTCGATATCGATATTTACCGATATATTTTACATCTAAAGTAAATCCAAAAGATCTTGTTTATATTAAAAACGTTATGTATCATAAATTTATTTAAAAAATGATTGCCATTAATTAATTACGGATTTTGAATTTAGCAGCTTGGACAGCCTCTTTCTGTGAAGCCGATATATATCAGATTTCCAATATATCGTTTCATCCCTAAATATCGGTAAAGATTTGGAAATGCTATTTTAAGTTGCTGCAGGGTAGGATGATTGTTTCCGTTACCTACATACTATTAAAATAAATAAATATTAGACAGCACCGCATACATTGCAAAGATACAAGACTGACCTGAGCCTATGTAGAATATTTTCTACAATGACCTGACTGGAAATAGAACTCGGGATTTCCGAGCTGACGATACCTGGCGTGGGAGTTAATCTGCCACGGCACTTGTGTCAGTTATTTCAGAAATTGAAGCCCTCGCCTATAGTTAATTATAAACCGTAATTAAAATTTTAAATTTTATTTGATTTCAGTGGACCCCTCAGAGCCTCATGTAAAAGAATCACTCAAGTATCCGTTCGACAAATTCCCACAGTATTGGTACGCGTCAGAAGAGTCCCTGCGTTTGCATAAAAAGAGGAAACACCCTTATGCAGCCATGTATAATTACAATTGGTTCGGTACATGGCTCGACGGTATGCCGAACAGCTAATAAAATAGTAAGTGTTATTTAGTAGTTTTCGTAGCAGCAATGTGGCAACATTTTAAAAGTTATTGGTAGTTTTTAATTGGCAACATTGTATAGTAGTTTTAGATGAGTAGTATTAAGGTACGCCTTTCATCTCTGGCTGATAGAATGTAAGGTACGATGATTATGGTATTAATGTATATTTTTTAAATGACACAGTTTGATATGCTTTAATGGTACAAAGATGATTTTAACTGATAAAATTATGATTCTTTTAATCTTCAGTCAATTTGATTTTTTATTCGTATTTGTTAATATTGTTTAAGTGTATGAAATTTTCTCAATAAACTGCTGCTATTTGATCTTAAATAATACATAATGAAGTATGATAAAGTGCCAGAAAAATATATATATAATAAATTAATACATTCCAGTTTGAATATATTTAAAAGACTGGGGCGCGCCTTCATTCAGTGTTGCTATAGCAAATAACAAATTAGGCCAGTAGTATTTAATTAGTAGTTTTGTAATTTATATAAAATCATCACAATATAAATTATATTATGTGTGTATATTCGTCCAAACACTTATTGCACTGCCACAAAGGTATATTTCAAGTCCTGTTGTTTTGTACATGTTTTTAATCAGTGCCAACTGGCGGTTATAAATTGCATTTAACTTTAACTACATTTTATAGTAAGGTCTTAATCAATGCATTTATTATAGCTGTAGTGTAACTTGTGCCTTGCGATAGGCAGTGTTCAAGAGATTATACATTGTATTGATCTCTTGTATTTTTTAGGATTTATCTATATTTTAATCATTGGCAACTTTATACTCCAAATTAGGAACTATTACTATTTCGATTAAACATTTTTTCTTTCGAAT